GGGAAGTTTCCAGCAGTCAACTCTGACAGTCGGACCTAACATTCCTGCTGTAACACTCTTGTTTGTATATGTTTGTATTACAGTTTCTGTTAATATATTTGTTTAACTCAATTCCTCTCTTTATGTTTTTATTTCTGGTCCCTAACATGGCCACAACAACACCAGAACGGCAGAAGGGAGTGGATCCATACCTTTCCCAAGACTATTTATGCCTAAGTGAACCCAATGAACCAAACCGACTCTCCAACTGGTATCAGTTACACCACCCGCACATCCTTCTTAACAACTAACAAAAAAATCTTCTTGCAAATCATACTAATGCAACGATACTTGCATTCGATAGATGTATATTTTGAATAAAATAGCTTTTCCATGTGCCTTTTCTATAAATTCTTTCATGGTAATTGTTATGATGAACTTCTCTCTATTGTACCTAGATTTTATGAATATCAGCGCAATACTAGATTGGCGGAAAGGTCTCATCATCTTACAATTTATTGTAGGAATTTATCCACGCACGCATGAACTTAGATCTTAGAGAGATCACAAACAAGGAGGAGGCTTATACTTAATATCAGGAAGTGGCAGCTGAAGTTTCTGGGACACATAATGAGGAAGGAGGGCCTGGAGAATCTGATACTCACGGGTTGAATAGAGGGAAAGAGAGACAAAGGAAAATAATGCATGACATAACCTGGCGGACTTAAGAAAGTGGATGACAACGTAGTCTAGGGGAGGAAGCAAAGGAAAGGAACTTGTTGAGAGCTGCAAAGGATAGGAGGAGGTGGAGGGTCATGGTCGTCTACGTCCTGAAATGACATGGCACATAAAAAAGAAAAGAAGTTCTTCATGTTTTGACTTAACCAAAAATGGTTAATAGACAAGTTGTTGACCAAATATATATATATATATATATATATATATATATATATATATATATATATATATATATAGTTGTATATTTAGGCAGCAATCATTCCTTTATGCATGTTTCATTAAAAACGACAGACAAGGTGCTACGGTTAAGCTTTTTATTCATTTTTCTTGTGTTCGAACAAGAGCTTTTTTTTTCTGGACAAAGTGTGTGTAAGAACTGTCCAAATATTTTATATATCCGAGCGCTTTCGACTATACATTTAGCCATTATCAAGGATGATTCGATTTTCAGCTTAGTTGAGGGTGTGCGTTCTGTGTATGTAATAGTGTGTGGTAGGGATGTTTTAATTTCCGAATATGGTTAGCACATTGTGGCTTTGTTCGTAGTTAATATTGTTAAGAGTTGGAATTTTTTTTTTTTGATATTAAAGCTTCCATTATTTTTAATCTTTTTTTGTAGGTGGATGCAGTTAATATATTTGTGTTTTCTACTAGTGAAAATTAGTGTTCCTAATGGAATCGGGTAAATTTGTGTGTGTGTTTAAATGGGTGGAATAGTGATTTTCCAAGCGTAGCTTGGATGTGGCACAAGGCCGAAAGTAAGGGGCACCCAGTGAAGATCGAACTCACTACTCATTCGTAATTGTTCTAGCGAGACAAGCTTGCTAACCATTACACCACCTCGAGGTGCTCCATTTAGGGCACCTCGAGGTGGTGTAATGGTTAGTAAAATAGAAAGAAAAGAAAGCTCTTGTCAGAACACAAGAAAAATTGAATAAAAAGCTTAACCGCAGTACCTTGTCTGTCGTTTTAAATGAAACATATATATATATATATATATATATATATATATATATATATATATATATATATATATATATATATATATATAATTTTGTTATGATAATTTACCCACGCACGCATGGACTCTACCAGCTATAAATAGGAGCAGGTACTGCTTTTTGAAGAGTGAATTTTCTTGTAGTCAGCTCTGACAGTCAGACCAAACATTCTTGCTGTAACACTCTTGTTTGTATTACTTTTTCTGTTAATATATTTGTTTAACTTAATTCCTCTCTTATGTCTTTATTTCTGGCCCTAACAAGGCCACAACACAATTGTATTTACTAGATGCAACCATAAGCTCTATGATAACAGTTTCTTGTCACGCACTTCTCGCCTGTGGATGTCTCTGCCGTCTTCTTGCTTTCCAGTCAACTTTGATCTTCGAAACTTTAAATGCAACGTCAATCGTTATCTACTGCTGTTTAAATTCCTGTTCTTTCATTGTCCTCTCTCTTTAATAGTGTTTATCTTTTCCTCATATTCTCACTAAATCCCTGCTTCTTAGTGGCTTTATTGTCTTGACTAGGATGAAATGATAAAACAGGAAACCAGTAAACAATGCACTCTCGGCAGCCTGTAACCAAACATTTATGAATAAAATATTACTGCCCGAACACATACGCGCGCGCGTGCACACACACACACACACACACACAAAACACACACGCATATATATATATATATATATATATATATATATATATATAAACAAAAATAAATATATATAGGAAATTTCTAAAGAGCAATTTTTTCATTTATTAATCTGACAGATTTTATTTTATTTTGAAGGTAAAAGACAGGGTATAGCGGGGTGAGGAAAGGATAAAAAAAAGAAGAAGGAGAGGGTCAAGGCATCAGAAGATGTCGATTGACATGACATTTAAAGTTTTGGAGATTATAGCTGTCAGGGAAGCAAGTAACAGGAAGGGAGTTCCACTGTCGGGAAGTGCGAGAGAAGAAATTGTTGGAATAGAAGAGGCGGTTACATTTAACTGTTTCGGCAGTAAAAGGGTGGGGCCAAGACGTCAGTGCAGTTCCCATGAAAATATTTTTAGAAAAGACAGAGGGAAGTCACATTGACTGCAGTCGAGCTGTCAAGTTAGGATCGTTCACATTGCATATCTGTCTCTGGATTATTATTAAAACGTTATTTTAGTGGGTACGCATATACTATTTGATAAATAAAGCGTCCAATCAAATGATTAGACGCTTTATTTATCAAATAGTATATTTCTTTCGTCTAACGGCCTGAATATTCGAGAAATCGTATTAAAGTAAAATATGTGTTGGCCGGCAGGATTCGAACCTAAATTCCCTTTCACAAGGGAAACCGATGTTAGGTTCGACGTGCGTTCGGATCGTCACGGCCACAGAATGCTCTCTCTCTCTCTCTCTCTCTCTCTCTCTCTCTCTCAGATTCTCGAAATAGACATATCTGCTTAGTTTTGTATCCTTATGTAAACAAAGCAATTTCTAAAGAAGTGATATTTACTTTTTAATCAGAAAGATTTTAATACTTGAACGTTATTTTTAGTCGATACCTATATTTATGATATCTTATTAGAGAAAAATGATGGTGTTTACGGTAGGATTCAAAGCGGCGCTCTCCTTGACAGGGGAAACCGTCGTTGGATCCGACGTGCTTTTGACCGTCTCAGTCACGTCGTCAATGTACAAAATTCAAGAATTCTTATTAAATGGCAGATTTCCCCTACCAAGGGGGACGCAAGTTCGAATCCTGCCAGAAAGCACATATTTATTCTTTAATAATATTCCGCGTATATTCAGGCCGGTAGAGGAAAACGAATAAATATATTTTTAATAAATAAACGAAGCATCTACTTAAATATAGGTATCAACTGAAATAATGTTTAAGTAATAATATATATATATATATATATATATATATATATATATATGTGTGTGTGTGTGTGTGTGTGTGTGTGTGTGTGTGTGTGTGTGTGTGTGAATAAATAAAGACGAAATGAAAAATAATTTTAACTAACCAGTTTCGTCCCTTGAGTAATTTTATCAACGCAAATTTGTGTCAGCTAAATTTTCCTTCTGTCAATATTCATATTGTCATTTTATAGATAAACTCTATCGGAAAAATTTTTATATATATATATATATATATATATATATATATATATATATATATATATATATCAGAGAGCGTTGAAATATGTTTGACTCAACACCGCTTCACCAAACTAGAACTAATGACCAAACATTTTTAATAACTTCTTATTCGGGCTGATAACTTTTCAGGAACCAACACACACATAAGCATATACATACACGCACACACGCACAAACAATCGCACACAAAAGACACAGACTCCCCCCTTGATTGATATATATATATATATATATATATATATATATATATATATATATATATATATATATATATATACACGCTGGAGATTCTAGTTTGTCTGGGTGGAAAGTGGGGAAAGAGAGCCAGGCGTGTGTTAGAGAAATTCGGTAAGGAATGGCGGAAAGACGTGCTAATATGACCGAGAATAAGTGAGAAAACGCGGGAATTTATAGCGAGTTTATGAACGCGTCTATTCAATGCTTATGAACATCCTGTTTCTTCTAATATTACCTCATAATTCTGCATAGTTCGGACTTTCTTTTTTTTTTTGTGATTTTTATTTGATTTTCTTTGGTTCTCATTCGCCGTCCAAGAAAGTCATAATCGTTCTTCCATTTGCAAAAGTATATGAAGTATTATATGCAAACAAAATACAAAAAGAAAAGAAAAGGAGATTGAGTTCCGTCTGTTTTCTTTTTAGTTTTTTATCTATACTTTTTTTTTGTTTTATTTTTGCACATTTTTGATCACGTTTTCTTCTTCATTTTCTTCTTCTCGTTTCTTTTTCCCTCCATAAACTTTTAACTTCCTCTCTTCGTTTTTGTCTACGGTACCTTGCTTTGGTTCAATCATTAGTAAGCAAACTATTCTTTTAGATCTTTACCAGTAAATTCGATCTTCACAGGGTGCTGCCCAGTAACTGTGTCCTTTGGTCAAAATTAAGCTGAATATATAACTATCACTGTTACTTATGTAACGATTAGCAAGTTGTTCTTGCGACTGGGTTGTAATTTTGGGCCTCGATGGAGGTGCCATATTTATGATCTTGTCTCAAACTAAGCTAATTATTAACTTTCATTTTTTCATAACCGTTTTTTCACTGTATTTTTTATTTATTTGTTGTTTTTTTTTTTTAAACTTCGCTTGCTTTCACAAGTCTGGTTCTTGGTTTAAGCCTCAATTAAAGTTTTTCTTACAATATTTATCAACCGTTTTCTTTCTCTCTTTCTTTCTTCTTTCTTTCTTTCTTTCTTCTTTCTTTCTTTCTTTCCTTCTTTCTTTCTTTCGTTCGCTTTTAGTTTTCTTGTTTCTATCTTTTATATTTCTTTCGTATTCAAGAATTTTGACTTTTTCTTTCTTTCTTTTTTCTTTCTTTCTTTTTTTCTTTCTTTCTTGTTTCTGTCTTTCTCATTCCTTCTTTCTTTCGTTTGCTTTTAGTTTTCTTTTTTCTGTCTTTTATATTTCTTTTTCTAGCATTCTTACTTTTTCTTATTTTCTTTCTTTCATTCTTTCTTTCTTTCTTTTAAAATATTGACGCTATGTATCTTTTTCTTTTTTTTTTGTTTCCTTTTTTCTTCTTTTTTTTTCCAAATTTCGATTTTGTTTCGTTTTCTCTCTTTGTTTTTTTTTTGTTAGTTTCGAACTTTCTTTCTTATGACTAAGGAATTTTTCAGGGATCTTTATCCACTTTTTATTTCCTTAATTTCTTCATGAATTTCTTTCCTTCTTTCGTTGTGCCAGTTTTTTTTTTTATTTGACCTTTTATTCTTTCATTCTTTCTTTGTGTTACTGTTTCTTTTTTCTTTTGTTCTTTACTTTCTTTCTTTGTGTTATTTTTCCTGAAATAATTTTGTTCAATTTTTCTTTGTATTTTTCATTCTTTTATTTCTCTTTCTTATCATCTCTCTTTTTCTTGTTTTGCTATTTCAGCTTAATGTGCTTTTTTTCATTCTTTCTTTCTTTCATGCTTTCATTTGTAGTTGTTTGCTTTCTCTTCATTTCTCTCTTTTCCGTATTCTTTATTAATTTATAAAAAACCTCTTTTCTCGTTTTATTTTGGACCGTTTTCATTCATTTTCGCTTTAGCTAATACATTCCTTTTCGTAATCTTTCTACATATTTGACCGCCTTTTCTTTACTGTATGATTTTCCATTACAATTTCTTTTTTTTTTTCTTTCTTTTCTTATTTTTTATTTTTTGTCTGCTATTTTTTACCTTTTTCTTTTGTGCTAATTTTTTCTCCATGTATTCTTTTTCCAACTATTTTTTTACCCAATAAACCTTTTTTTTTTCTTATAATTTTTCCAACGTTTTTTTTATTTTTTTCCTCTTCTCACCTTTCCTCACTTTCTCAATTCTTTCTTTACCGCTTTCTTTTTTTTCTCTTTTTTACATCGAGTTTCGTTTCTTTCTATCACTTTTCTCTTTTCTATTTCCTTCTTCCTATGCATTTTCATCTTTTTACATTTTTTCTTTCTTTTTATTTCTGTTTTGCTTCTTTCCCTAATGTTCTTCTTCTTCTTCTCTTATTCAGTTCTTCCCATCCATTTTTCTTCTTCTCTTCTGCCTCATCTAATTCAGCAACCTTCTGTCCCACATGATTCGTTTCACCTTCTCCCCTTGATATCGGTAAGTAAACAAACAAACATCACTTAATGCCTTTCCCAGACATCATTCCAGTTTCAAATGACAGTATCGGTAGTAATGTTTGGGAGTTGTTTAGTTTAATTTTCAAAAACAGATGTTTGGGTGGAAGTCATTCTCATATTTTCTATTTTTGTAACCCTTCTATCTTTTTTTTTTCGCTTTCTTTCTCTCTCCCTCTTTCCTCTCTCTCTCTCTCTCTAGTTGCTTTGACTATTTTCAGAACAGCGACACCAATTTCCATAATTTGTCTGTCCACTATCATCCCCGACGCTACTTCATCTCCATCCTTTAAAAAAAAAAAAAATACAATGAAACATCAAATAAAGTCATCACTCACGATTTTTGTTTTTGTTTCAAGGCGATGATCGAAGAATAAAGTTTCAAATTTGCTTGAAACACCGACTTTTAAAATGTTCTATTCCAGGCTTTATTGAAAAAATTTTGTTACACCCACGGAGTTGAAACATCCCCATTTCCGCTGTTTCAAAGGGAGAATGAATGTTCCACTCAGACAAAACATCACATGCCTCTCGCTACTATCGCTATTTTCATGGTATATGCCCAGGCGAGATATATACCTTGCTTGCACCAGTCTAGACCATCGCTGCTAAAACCCATCATGACAGGGAAACGAATCACTCTCATTGTCTTTAGACTCCATTGGTAAGAAGGAAGTTCGATTCGGACAGCTTCTTTCCCAACAACTGTTGCATTTTGGAATGGTTTCTTTCCTGATCACTACAAACACACCATATTTCCGAAGAATTGCAGCATTTTGGAACGGTTGTTTCCTGATCCCTACAAAGCCAGCTTCTTTCCCAAGAACTGTTTCATTTTGGAACGGTCTCTTCCTGATTTCTACAAAGACAGCTTCTTTTCCAAGAACTGTTTCATTTTGGAACGGTCTCTTCCTGATTTCTACAAAGACAGCTTCTTTTCCAAGAACTGTTGCATTTTGGAACGGTCTCTTCCTGATTTCTACAAAGACAGCTTCTTTTCCAAGAACTGTTTCATTTTGGAACGGTCTCTTCCTGATTTCTACAAAGACAGCTTCTTTTCCAAGAACTTTTGCATTTTGGAACGGTCTCTTCCTGATTTCTACAAAGACAGCTTCTTTTCCAAGAACTGTTGCATTTTGGAACGGTTCCTTTCTGATTTCTACAAAGACAGCTTCTTTCCCAAGAACTGTTGCATTTTGGAACGTTCCTTCTTAATCATTACAAAGCTAGCTTCTTTTCCAAGAACTGTTGCATTTTAGAATGGTTCATTCCTAATCACTACAAAGACAGATTATTTCCCAAGAACTGTTGCACTTTGGAACGGTTCCTTCCAAATCACTATAAAGACAGCTTCTTTCACAACAACTGTTGCATTTTGGAACGGTTCCTTCTTAATCACTACAAAGACAGATTCTTCTGAAGAATATTTGCATTTTGGATCAGTCCCTACCTGATCACTACAATGTTAATTTCTTCAAGTCTAGCGTCAACCGTTATCTATCCTACCTATCCTCATAATATTCATCCCTTGCTCTATCCGTATACGTTCTCACGGCAAGATCTTTTAGTAACCCTCTGGGTATCTTTTAAACAGACTAGTGTGTAAGTGTTTCCATGAAGAGTAAAATCTTAACTTTTTCAATTCAAAGATCAATCGTTATCTATCTCCTTATCTTCCTAATCTACACTTTCTACCATCTCCTCTTTCATTCATAGCCCACGCCTCATTCACCATTTCCATTTTGGTTGTAAACTTCCATTTTGGTTGTAAACTTCCATTTTGGTTGTAAACTTCTATCTTGAGTGACTCTAGAGCATTGTAAAATTCAGTATAGAAAATTAAATGCAAAAAAAAAAAAATGAAACAATATTTTATAAAGAGATGTCTTGGAAGAAATTTCTTTGTTCTGGAGCATTTTACTCTGGAAGTGAAATATTCTGGTACTCACTGCGACTGTAAGCAATGACCACGCTGATACGACTGTCTATATATGTAAACATTAGCTGGTTTAATACTTCTGCAAGAATTTATCCGAAAGGTAACTGCTCTTGGAGAGTTTAACCTTTTTGCGGTGTTCTCCTGGGTCCCCTGGATAAGACAATCTGGAGTTTTCAAGATCTTTTAAGTATTACAGCTTGCGATGGATAAATTGTCGTCTAAATTACGTAAAAAAATAAAGGTAACACTAACATCTCACTTTAACAGATATATTTGCCAAAATTAGACAAACATATCTTGAAATATTAAAGAATAAATTTATTCAACCACGGCTCCCAGACGACATCGGAATCTCCTGCAATTCTTCTGGACGGTTTCCTTGTCTAAGTTGGTGATTGCTGCCATGATCCTTGCCTTGTTCAACTTTGGTGTTACAAGGACTTGTGTTGGTCACCTGTTCAACTGCGCCCCACATAATAATCTAGTGGGTTGCAGTCTGAGCAGTTAGGTGGCCAGATGCATATGGTGATATGGTTGCCGAAATTGTCCGAAAGCTATGACTGCGTTATCTTGGTTGTGTGGCATGGTGCAGAGTCCTGTTGCCTGAAATAGAGTCTTCCAGCAGCTACCCTCTTGACTCAGGGCAGCACTACCTCCTCAAGACACTTAATATTGTTCTCTGTGTTGTGTCTGAGCCAACAAATTCGGGATTTCTTTTCTTATTATAACTATCAGAGTCAGTTTTCCGAGTTGCCATACCTTCGTAATCACCAGTAACTCATCCAACTCTTTCCGAATCCTCTGCACTGTCCTCAGATTGACACACAAACACTCTGGAATTTTCGTATTGGTGTTTCCGAAGCAAATGCCAAGCAGTAGAGCATGCATTTCTAAAATTCTGGCGGAGTAAATTGCATCATGTTGCTCTTTTTCTCACAGACGCTACACAACTAATCCGATAATATTATGCAGTCAACAAAATCAAAAGCAAACAACGCATTTGCGCGAAATTACAAATATAAAATGACGACAATTTACCCATCGCAACATATATATATATATGTGTGTGTGTGTGTGTGTATGTATGTATAAAGACATTTTTATGTTTATAGATTCTCTCACGTACATTCATATCTGCTCAAAGCGCATCCAAATGTAAACAAATGATGTCACACATTATGAAATGGACAATTATTTTAAGACATTTTTATGTTTATACATTCTTTTTCTAGATACAAATATTTTCATATATCATGGAAGATTGAAGTCTAAATACAGTAAATTCGACCTTACTAAGTGAACGCGCCTCTGAGGCCAAATCGGTAAAGGCACGCCAAGCTAAATGACAGTTCAGTATAGGATACAGGTTCGAATACTGTTGGAGGACGAATATTTTATGTAAAAATTTCTCGGACATTCAGGCCGGAAAATATTGTTTAATACTGTTTATTATAAACAGAGCATTTACTTAAATATTTTTATCTATAAAAAGAATGTATAAACATAAAAATGTCTTAAAATAATTGTCGGACATTGTCCATTTCATAATGTGTGACGTCATATATATATATATATATATATATATATATATATATATATATATATATCAAATGATGATTTTAAGCTAAAATACTTAATCTGCTATGACCCTAAATCCCATTTCGTGATCATGGAAAGACTTGTCAGATATTTCCCATTTAAGGCACTTAAAGCGGATAATTAAATAATCGATACATGCATTAAGCAAATATAAAACTTAAAGCATTTTTGTTTGTTTGCCTCTTAACAAAATTCCGTATTGATCTCAATCTGTTCTTTTACTTTTTTAGAAGTGGATGTTTTTTAATCTTTCCTGCAATGAAAATTTAAGCTGAACTGTTTTTGTTATAATTGTTAATCTTCTATGTGAAATACATCTGGGTAAGGTACAAATTCATTTCTTCTTCTCCCCAGATAGGGGTCAAATAGTAGGATTGGCATCATGAAAAATCATTGTTATCTGCACCCACCACCAAAAAAAAAATTAATATCACAATATTCACTCGCAAAAATACATATACTTATAATCCGAAAAATATTTAAACACCCTAAATATGTGTTTAATAAACCGTAAAATCAAATCAATCAGTAATTGCTTTCTCTTTGTACCACTTGTCTTCGGTATATCCTGTTAGTGTCAAATTCTTCAATCCCTGGCTCTCAATTATGTGTCCCAGAAATTTCAGTTTTCTCTCACTGTTTCTAAGGGTCCGTTTTGTTACCATTTTCCTTAAACTGTCCCCCGTTGCTTATATGCTCAGTATTAGAACGACACCTCTGTTTCCCAAGTCTTCTCTTCATTTGTGAGGAATTTGTCCAAATAACTTTAAAGGTCACGTTTTACAAGCTTGATTTTCTTCCCCATTCTATTGTTTTCAGTTAAAACCGATGCTTTATGGTTCTACATATCGTCTCGGAATATTTTGAATCAGTATCTTAATCAAAATGTTGGATTTTATTCCTTTATATCAAAAGGATTTTCCCTTATTACTTCATGGAGAAATTTACAATTTTACTTTATATATATATATATATATATATATATATATATATATATATATTGCATATAAAGTAAAATTGTAAAGTTATATATATATATATATATATATATATATATATATATATATATATATATATCAGGTCATCCCATGAGTTATATCCGAATTTTGAATAAAAGAAAACAAGTGACCAAAGATTCAATCAACTATGTATTTTCCCTGATTATCTATGACTTCCTTCCATCTATTAACAAGCTTACTAATTCCATTACTGTAAAATTCTTTTGGCTTTGATTCGAAGAACTCACAAATGACAGTTTTAACCTCTTCTTGTGTTACAAAAGCTGTTTATTCCAAATGACTCTGTAAGCTACGAAACAAATGGTAGTCTGAAGGAGAAAGATCTGGAGAATGAGGTGGATGAGGAATTTTCTCTCAACCAAGTTCTTCGATCTTTTGTGACGTGATTCTTGCTGTGTGGGGTCACGCATTGTCCTCATAAAACAT